TTGGTTCATAAGTACCATGAACCTCCAACTAGCTCCTCAAGGGTCCTGAGGGTTGAGTTAGGGTGGAGGAGACCGGATTCGGGTCTGCTTGTTCCAGGAAGCTGAGGCGAATATATTTGGATCCGAAAAGCATTCTTCTTGCTGCACTACCGCAGAACGAGAAATTCATGACCTGGGGCAATGCTTCGCATGCTGCTGACGGCGCTTCAGTGTAAGCTGAGACAACTGATATTAAACGGATTGACAAAAAAAAGTGATTTCTCCAAGCCTGTATGCCGTGGCCAGCCTGAGCCTTCTTGGCATGCTCATCGCGTCTAGCCACGTTTCCGAGGCTGGCGAAGCTTCAATACCTCGATGCCGCGGAGAACCAAGTGCCAGGGGCCTGGTTTGGACGAGGGATTTTTGGGTACGAGCTGGGCCACTGCAAGTTTAGAAGCTTAGGGATTTCCTGCAAGCCAGACATGTCTAAACCCTAAACCTTCAACCCTAAAGGCACGCATGCCGAACTGCACCTCTGAGAACTCAAGTGTGGCGATTGCCTGTCTGCACTTGAGGGTCGTTGCGTGCAAGATGAATCATCTTTGCCACGCGTGGCCGTGACGCAACAGCGGTGCGCTGTGCGTCACCTTATCGCGTGCGCAGCAACAGGCAGCAGCAGACCCTAAACCCTAAACCCTGAACCAAAAAACCCTAAACCCTAAAGGCACACATGCTGTAGCGGCACTGTAGTGGTAGCTTCTCCATGGTTCAAGCAACCACTGGTGCGCTAAAAGCTAATTTGTAACTGCTCACAGCCTGTACAGGCCGATTTTTCGGCCCCTTTAGGCTTTAGGCTTTAGGCTTTAGGCTTTAGGCTTTAGGCTTTAGGCTTTAGGGCTTAGTACGGATGCAGAATCCTACACCCTAACCCCCGAACCCTTAGCTGGCCTTTTTTTGGCAGAAAGAAAAAAGAACCGCTAAGGACAACCATCCCACAAGCCATCATCGCCTGCCCGCCATCCCGGCCAGTCTATCTTTAAGAAGTGGTGTTAGGAATTTAGGGTTTGGGGTTTAGGGTTTAGGGTGTGGAGTCTTGGGTTTAAAGCTCCAGGGATCACAAGCAAATGGGATGTTTGTTGTTACGCCTCTAAGGGGAGTATCGATGGTTCAGGTTTACGGTCTAGTTCGGGTTGATAGCTGCATTTCTTCGTTTAGGGTTTCAGTAAGGGCTTTAGGGTTTAGGGTTTAGGCTTGGGATGTCAGGTTGAGGGTGTAGTCGCAGGGCAGCCCAGCAAACCCCTGGACCCTCAACCCTACACCTGCTTGCAGTAGTGGCAGATGCCAGGACCCAAAACCATAAACCCTTGCGGTTTGCAGACGAGGCTAAGGGTGGAAAGCGAAGGAAACTCCTCAACAAGCAGAGAGAGCGAGAAGCAAGTGCTCTTCCTCAGGCAGAAGCTCAGAGGCAGCTTAGGGTATAGGGTTCAGGGTTTGGGGTTTATAGGGTTTAGGGTTTAGCGAATCAGGGTGTTAGCGTTTAGGTAGGGTTTCGGGTTTAGGGTTTAGGGTTTAGGGTTTAGGGT